TCTTTGGTCTGTCTGTAGTGTTAAGATTAATAACCTAGAAACATTAAGGTCAATCTTCTCCTCACACAATAGAAAAGGAAGAAATTAAACACTTTCTTCCCTTTTCTTTGACTAGTAGGAGAGGAACTCAATCCTATTCAAGATTTGAACAGCCAAGAAGGGGTGGGGAATTCCCTGTAGAGAGTCACTCATTTCCCTGGCAAGGAGTGTACCCGGAGTCTAGCGAAGAGGGACAGTCAGGTATGCAGGCACCAGCCCCTCCACATTCAGGGATGTGCTTCAAAAATCTGCAGGAAAGAAGTCCAGAACCAGCGCTACCTTGCCATGGCAGGTATCTGATTAACAACACCATGGCCCAGCTGAGCAGCAAACTAAACCTAAATAACCAATAGGATGCCAATGAGAAGTCAGAGTTTCCAGAATCTATGTCCTTCAGAACTTGATGGACAGAGCAGCCCCCGAGCCAACAGAGTGTCACCACTGCTGTACGTTCATCAGGGGAAACCATCACCTCATTCCAGAAATGCTCCAAGGAGTGCCAAGAACCTCAGACCCAGTGCCAAAAGAATTAGAACATGTGTGTCTCCATTTGCCTATTGGCAAGACTTTCTCTAGTTGACTCACAAATTATCTTTGCGATTTAAACATGATGATATATATATAAAAAAAAAAGTGGTCTGAAAAAAAAAGTGGTCTGAAAGCATCAAGTGTGAGCATAATGATGTTTGGCTCTGCACATACATATAATTTTCCGAATGTAATGCACATTATTTTGATTAAACGTCAGCATCAATATGATTAAAATTAGACAAGTTTGATGTGCTTCATTCAACATCACAGTTATGAAAATGTTAATAGCATGTATTATTAACATGAAATAAAGGTGCTGATAACCAGACCAATTTTAAAAATGCCCCCCCCCCCGAATATATTCATTCAGGAATGAGTAACTATCTCTGACTTACTTTGAATAACCTACATAACAGCATTCTCTTTCTAGCTATTTGGAGGCACATGTTATTTTAGAAACTTCCACAGGGAGTGAGGGGAAGGTGGCACAAAATTGGGGCTCCTAATCTCTTTCAAACATAAACCAGAATAGACACTCTCTTAATCTCAAACTATGGAAACACTGAAAAAAAAGTTTATGTGAAAGGGATCTGATTATAACAAATAATCTTAAGTTACTTTTACATCAATAATTCTATAAAGATGGGAATATGTGATTTTTTAAAATTATATTAACTATTTTATATAAACATTGTTTTTTTAAAATGATGTTGGTGTCCTCATTTGAGTAATATTGTTATTTGCCCCAAACCAATGCCCTGTATTCGTCTCCCTTTCCTTAACACCATCATATTCAGAATACAAACCTTTTACATTTTTTTTGCAATATATATAGACAGAAATGCAGAGGGATCAATTATATGGGAGTTATTTCCAAATGAAGTAAACAATAAGATATCACAATTCTCAATGAGGAGACCAAGCAAAATGAATTCTAAGTGAGAGGCCAAAATTATCTTTTTTAGACTGCCTTTATCAATTTGTTCTCAAAATCTCAGTAATCTTTAATATTGCATGAATCATTTTATCAATATCTTAATAACTATATTGTTTGGGTTTAACATTGGCTTTATACCTGCCTTTTACTTAGAACACCTGTCAAAACAAATAACACCAAGCCAGCGTGCCAAAAGCATGTAGTTTATATGAACTTGCTTAAAAAATTGAATAAACCACCTATTTTAAGGTTATAATTCAGAGCATTTCAATAGTTATATTTGCTTTTATAACTATAGCTTGAAATTTTAATTTGATTTAAAGATACCATTATCTATCTTTAAAAACACAATTCTGTCACACTCAGCTGTCACACATTTCAGATGATTCAGAGGAGTATTGTATTTTAAAAAGTCCAAAATTAAAGAAACTCTTCTTGCTCCTTTAAACTCAATAGACTTCATACACATCTACAAAAAAAAACCTTTAAAAAGATTTTCAAAATGCAGGTGTGCAAATTACTCCTGAAATAGACAGGAGTCATGTTTTCAGTATCCCCAACCCACTGTTAAGCACACCCTATAGCATTTTTCAGGTCATAAACATTTTATGAGCTGAAAAGTTCCTTCAGATTTTTTTTAACTACTAACTACAGTTGCCCTCCAGCAATAGCACCCTAAGTTGTTATTAAGATCCATTTGAGCAAATCTAACATAAACATGTCCTGAGTAACATGTTTTGTTTCATAGTAGTAAAAAAAAAGAAAAAAATCAAGATTTATATGACTTGCAGAGTGCAGAAAAATATATATATATATATATATGTATATATGAATGTGTTGGTTGATGGTTGCATGGGTGATATTTTTGCTCACTTGAATGTATAGAGATAGGTTCTAGGACTGTGAATAGATTCACACAAATTCATACATGTACCAAGAATTTTCCAGCCTGGAAAAATGTTCTTGATACAAAAAAAAAAAAAAGTTGGTTTTTCAAGCACATGTGTATTTTTTTTCCTTTTTAATGCATGCTTTGGAACTCATTAATTTAACATCTGCTTTAAAATTTTCCATTTTTAAAGTATTAAATGTCTGAAAAATTAAATTTCTTATAAAAAAAACCCCATAAAATTAGCAAAACTAAACAGCTGGATCTGAGTAAGTCTCTCATTGTCTTATCAAGATGATAACCAGTGCTTTTAGCCTTAAAGAAAATAGCATATGTGAACCACAAAATAATACGGTGATCAGAGAGAGAAACAGAAGGGAAAAAAAGGAGGGAGTTGATATGGCAGTAACTAAATGATAGGAAGCTGATATGGAGGGAATACACACTCCACCTCTCCCCTACCACCACCCTCCAACACCTATGGATCCCGCCACACACCCATAAATACACACGGGAGTCCTGTCCTAATGAAGATATCAAGTATTCTTTTTCCACAGAGTTCTCTGGCCTATTGTTCTTTATGTTGAACAAAAACTAGTTAGAAGATGAATCATGGTCTTACATTTTAAAAGTAGAAGGAAAGAAGAGGAAACAACTAGTCATGTCTCCCAGACATGCTGAATTAAGTTGACAACTCACAGGTAAACATACACCTTGGTTTCTGGATTAGGTTACTCAGATGCTCCCTTCCAAGTCACCATTTATAAAGTTATGATTTTTGCTTCTGATGCCTACCATATCATCCATGGAGATTGAGTTTCACTATTTCCATTCTGTAATTTGATCACCCTGCACTTGATACACATTTTCCCATTTAGAAGAGTTTCTTTTTCTGTTTTTGTCTTTTTTTTTTTAAATGCAGAATATCTTTTATTGTTTTCTATGTTACTGGGTTAAACTTGGTGTCTACATTAACATGAGAATAATCTAAATTGGGAAAATCTTCTGCTTAGTCATTCAAGTGATTTTTAAATTCCCAAACTATGCATAATACAAATTCCTTTTCACTTCTTTTTATTTCTCTTCTTCCTCATAGTAATATCTTCTCGGCCCTGTGGAAACTCTAGTAACCACAATCCTCCTTCTCACTACTTGGCAACTGTTTTTGTTCTCCAACTTCAGTTTCAAGAGGTGGAAAGGAATGTGAGAGGAAATATGTTATGGTTTCCAAGAAACAACAACATTAACAAGACAACTATGCTGTAATCCTGGCTTCTTACAATAATATTGAACGTGAAGATTAACTTCAAATCTTGGACTATAATCCTTTTCTACCACTCACTGCAGAAGCCACAGAAGCTGTGTCATTTCGACCTCTACCAGTACAGTCAGCTGACCTACAAAAGGGCTGCCTGACTGTTTCCAAGAGGTACACCACTCAGTGCTCGATTTAGGACATCATCACTCTCAAAAAAAAAAAACAAAAACTACAGCCTGGGGTAGATATCCCACCAGCAAGAGATACTTTCCTAGAAAAGCATGACTTTTCAGAGCCAGAACAATGAAAAATGTGTATTTCTTCATTGACTTCTCATATCAAAACTAGTATATAACAACTTAACTAAAACCGATTTCTAAATTTAAGAGACAAACAAATCTGACTTGATTTTTCCAACTGTCTAGGTCTTATATTATCAACTCAGTTTACCAAATTAAAAAAAAAACAAATGGTATGGACTAATGTTTAAGAAGAAATGTTATGTTTGATAATGACGATTATTTAAAAAAAACAGCTTTTAAGAATTTTGCCAGAGAAATATTCGAGCAGCATACATGACATTGCAAATATTCCTAGAGACAAAACAATTAAATCATAAAATAAATAGCATCACAACCTTGTTATCAGGAACAAAGATGACGCTGACATATCCACTTAAAATTACATTTCAACAGTGAAGCACAGCATTTCCTAGAACTGAGATAGACTGTACTTATTCTAAATTCAAAACCTCATCAAAACACACAGACAAAAACCTAAAAAAAAAAAAACCCTCAAATGCACATTCAGATAACTTAAACTATAGGCATATTACCTACCCACAAGTGATTTAAAAAAACCTATAAAATCCTGCAAGAGAAAAACCAAAGCAAACCTTTAGATGTCTATCAGCCCTAGGTATACGCAATTTGGTTGTAGCCGTCCACAGAGTAAGTGCTGAAGGTTAATAGTTAAAGACCAATGGAATGTTAACACAGTCTAGTACTACACTTGAGTAGTAAGGCATGGAAAGACACTGAAATTAAAACACTTTGCTTGGCATGTTCAGAAGTGATGTAACAGTGATGATTTGGTTATATTAGATGACAAAGCAGGGCTTCTTATGACTTTAAAAATAACATTGTATCTAACATTCTTCCAAATTGTTTAACAAATTCTTCCAATTCTTGTACAAATATATGAAGCTAAAGCATAGCATTTTTCACACTCCAGTTATCTTCTAATGGCAGCATTTGATATGTTGATTTTTTTTTTTTTTCCAAAAGTAATTTTCAAGATAAAATGCTGATTGCCTTGACTGGTATGTCTAGAAAGCAAAGACTTACCTGTCTTATTTTCTCTGACCTCAATAATATATACATTTATATCAGGACGGAATTTTGTCCCCGTCGGGGGTTCTGTAGTGGAAAGTGTCTGAGAACTGACGGCTTCTTTGTCTTCTCTAGTGGGTGGTCTTGTTGACTGTGTAGCAGGAGTACTTGATGTTGTGAAATATTCTCTATCAATGTCAGTTTCTGTTTCCTTGGCTACAATATCCTCAAGGGTAGTGGGAGGAACATGAGATGTTGATTCACCAATGATTACCATGTCACTGGTTGCTTCTTCTCCTGGTTCCCTGTCAATAAGAGGTGGTTTTTCAGTGGGTGCTGAAGATGGCTTGAGAACTGAAGTTGTGTGAAGTCTGTCTACAGAACTGAAGGCAGCAGTGATATCACTTGGAATGGTGGCTTTAACTGTTGAAAATTCTGTGGTTTGGGGCTCTTCGAATAATCCTGAGCCTAAATCAATATAATCTAGGGATGTTTTCTCTCTTTTGTCAGGGGTAGTTTCCTCGATAAGCTGGGTAACACTGGTGCTAACAGGTGACGGAATAGTACCTTCTGTTTCATGTTCTTGTTCAGGCCCTGGACTTAAAGACGCCACTGGCCCCATACCTGATGTTAGTGTCACCCCTTCATCTACTTCCTCTTTGTGCTCAGTAGCAGCACCCGATGGATAAGACACACTGGGCTCAATTTTTCCAACTGGAGTTGTTTCCAAACGTGGGATTCTCTCAGAACTTATTACCAATATGTTTTCAGAGACTGTATATGCTGACCCATCACTCTCTTGTTCACTCAGAGGTGTCCTGGAGTCTTCAACTGTGCTAACTGTAGAACTAAAAGCAGGAACTGGTTTCTCCGAAGTCTGTTCTTTCCAAAGAAATTTTTCCTGAGTGGTTTCTTGTTTAATCTTTGTAGTTGTTCTGATAGTTTCAGGAGTAATAGTTGCTTCTAGCTGAGTCTGGTCAACGACACGTATGTCTTGAGAGGGCTCACCTAGAACTTCATCTTCCGATGGAACAGAAGGTACCAACACTCCCCATTCTGTCTTGGGAACGACAGTGGGAGACATGGTACGGGAGGTGTCTACATAAGTAGCAGGCTCCTGGGTGCTACTGTAATTAACAAATGCCAATCCTTCCACATCTGTAGTGTGTGCAAACTGAGGGACAGTCGGTAAGGGCTTAGAGACATCCACACCTTCTTCATCCCAAGCTCTTCCTTCTGTACTTGTAGAAACAACTATGCCCTCTGTGCTTGTAACAGGTGAAACTCTTTCTTCAGTTGTAGTTTCTCTCACAGCTGAAGTTTCTGCAACACCAGCTGATGTAGTTGGCTGAAATTTGACTGCTGTTTCTTCCTCAGTAAATTCCTCCAGGGGCTTTTGTGTACTCTCTGGGATAAGAGTAAATTCAACCCCTCCATCTTCAGTAAAGCTTGGCATTCCTTCATCTTTTTCACTAACTCCCATAGGTGTATGGAAGGCAGAGGATAGTTGTGGAGAACCTGTATGTTCTGTGGGTCCTACAGGCTTTGAGGTCGTATTGTCTTCATCCCATGACCACTTGGATACAGTGATCACCTCCGCATCTAAAGTACTGTGGGTCAGGTGCACTGTTGTCACACTCCCAACAGACTTTGTAGTATCTTCATAGCCTTCTGGCTCTAATCCAGCCGGGGTGGTAAATTCTTCTACTACCACCCTTGTTTCTACTTCTGTTCTTTCTTTTCCTTCTGTCATTCCTGTTTCTAGAGAGGGATACATAATTGTGGATAACCCCTCAACTAATTTTTTATCACTGGAATAAGGAAACAATTCTACTTCTGTATGTAGCTGTGATGGGAAAGGTGTGATGGACACATACTGGTCAGAGATATTTTCAGTTATCCTACCATTAGTTTGTTTCTCTTCCCAGCTGTCCATGGATGATGCTTCACTGTCAGGTAGTGTCACAGGAACAGTCGTGGATGCCGAGACTGACTCTGCAAGTTCTAGCAGAGTGGAGACGATGTCCTCTGAAGTCTTTGACACTGTTACGACTTCAGGAATTTGGCTAAATGTTGGGGTGCTTTGACTAGAGCTAGCTGTAAATGTTCTATCACTCTCCTCTTCTCCCAGGGTGAAACTATCATGACTTGTGGTCACTGATTCGGGAATACTGCTTACTGTTTTCTTTTCAGTTTTGGATTCCAGGGCCATGGTTGCAGAAACAAATGATGTTTCAGTGGGAGAGAATTCCCTAGAAGGAGTGTGCTTGGAGATTTCCATAGATGTTGTTACCAAGGGACCCACTTCTATCTGTTCAACTTGTGTAACTGATTCTTGTGTTTGTACATCTTCTATGATGACTTGGGACACTTCTTCCTCAATTTTAGATATGTCTGGCTTTTCAAGTGGTCCTGATGTAAAAGGTGTGTAGTAGCTCATATCTAAAGGCTCCTTGGTGCTCCCAGCAGGTGTGGGGGATTCAGTGGCTAATGTATGTGTGAGAGATTGAGTTTGAACTGTGGCTGTCTGTTCAACATTGACTATATTTCCCACAGGAGGGAACTCTGTTGTAATGAGAGGTAACTCAGTGGCTAAAGGGATGATGGGTGTAGTTCTGTCGGGTACCAGTTCTTTGGATAAACTGGGTGATGCAGTTTCTGCGAGGATATTCAGTTCGATGGTTGTAGCCTCTGATATATTCTCTTTAGCTAGAAAAATAATTTCAAAGAGTTGATTAGACAAGTCACTAATAAAAATTGTTGTATGTCCAGTGTCTGATAAATGTTGCTGTGCATTTTTGGGTGAGCCCAAGTTGTTCTGTGATGGAGGGGATTCTAAAAACTATACTAAAGTTAATCCAAAGGCAGACAACTGAACATTTAACTGTCACAAATTGAGCACTTGTTTTCAATCGTCAGGGTTACAACTGCTTTTACCCATAGGTGTGAATGATTGTACTAAGGACTGTTAAGGAGATGAACAGTTTTAAGGCATGAAATTCAAAAAATAGCAATACAAAGTTAAGAAACAGTAGATAGGTTTTATTTATCAGAAACTATAGCAACCATTTGAAGGCTAGTAGAACTTAGTACAACTTTTCTGGAAGCTCCTGTACCCAGCTTCTAGCTTTTTTCTTCTTCCTTAGTGTCTCAGGGGGGAGGGAGTGCCTCAGATTGCAGAACAACAAAAAGCCACATCAAATGTAGCTGAGTTACAATTAAGCTGTCACACTGTCCATAATGTGGAGGCTTTAATAAAAACAGGATATTAAACTTTTTTAATACTACTCTTCACTTCATTCCAGGTGTTGGATATTTGTCTTGGTCTCCCTTTCAACTCTCATGGCTTCTTTCCAATAAATTATAAGATGTTTCTGGCATAGGCTGCTGTGCATTTGTTTTACTCCTATTTGTTTTGCTTTATGCTCTATACTCTATGTATGTATGTTAGGAGCTTGGGTTCCACGCTTACTTTAGCATGAATCACAAAGGTAGAACAGGAAGTAAAGTACCCACATGAAACATTTTAAATATGTAATTCAGAACACAGCAACAACCCTGAACACCAGAAACAAGGACTCAGGCAATAGAAAGTAGCATGTTGTATCATAAAATGCTGCATTATAATGCCTCCAGATTTACAGGAAAGCCTTGGTTTGTTTAAAGAAATTTAAATTGTGTATAAAAGTGACGGCACGGCTGACAAGAAATCTTCTCAACATCAGGATCATGCCATCATCTAGCACAAAAAGATTTTGCTTTTATAAAAATTGTATTTTGGGGCCCTCCCTGGTGGTAGAGCAGGTTAAAGCATAGCACCACAAAGCTAAAAAGCCACTTCAGCATGAGCTCAATTCCCAGCCAGGGTGGTGATGACCCAAATGGTTAGCAGACCTCCCTTGACCCACCCACTCTCCCCTCAGCAGTGTATCTCAGTATGCCTGTTCTGCTCCCCACTCTGTCTCTGATGAAGCCTCTCACTGCCCCTGCACCTCTGGCCTGTGCCCCAGTTCTGTAGGCATAAATAAATAAAGCTTTAAAAAAATATCGTATTTTCAAAAATTAGAAACTTATTGCCACTAAACTCAGAAAGAATTGTTCCGAGAAAAACAATGGTCATTGTTTGGCTACATACGGTATGATTTACAGCTAGTTGTAAGTGCGACACCCTATCTCCCTGATAAAACCTGTGACCTGTAGTACGTATCTCTTATGTTTTAGTCCAAATAATCCCAAAACAGGAGTTTTCCTTAGAAAACAAAATTAGGTACTTTTGAGTTCTATTTACTCCATCAAACTTAACGCTTCAGGCAGTGAAGTTGTTCGGCCTGATATAATGATAAATGCACGTCATTGTCTACGTTCGTACAGTTGACTGAAGTACAACACGGAGTGAAGTCTAGCATGAACTGCAGGCTGCGTGACTGTGACGCATGACGTGGGGCCTTCAGTTGTAACAATACCATTGCTCTGGTGCAGAGAGGCTGACATTTGGGAAGCCTCTGCATCAGGTCGGGCATGGTAGGAAAAAATCAAGTCTATGCAAAAACTCAGTGATAAAATAATGTGATTTTGTTCTAAATCAGATTAGCGGTTTCATAGGCGCCTTCATTTTTGTCTGGTATGAGTTGTTAGTTAGCTGTGGTCAACCCCCAGACTGTAATTTAAAGCCCAGAGTCATCCGCCTTATAATGAGAACTTGGTGGTCATTAATTGTTATGGTATATTTAAATATTCTTTCAATGCTGACACTTTATTCTTTTATCTTAAAACAAAACTAATTTTAAAAAGAATTGGACTTTTAAAACATGTCATATAACCTTTTCTTGATTTTTAAAAGGAAATCATTTCTGGCCCTCCCTGGTAGCACAGCAGGTTAAAGTGCAGCACTAAGAAGCTAAAGCCGCTTTAGCATGAGTTCAATCCCCACCGTGGAGGTGACCACAAGGCATGGCAGACCTCTCCTGACATGCCCACCACCACCACCGTGCTTTGGTCATCTGTCTGTTCTGCTCGGCACTCTGTCTCTGGTAAAGCCTCTCACTGCCCCTGCACCTCTGGCCTGTACCCCAATTCTGTATGCATAAATAAATAAATCTTCAAAAAAATAATTTCTGTATTCATTTTCTATTATAAAGCTTTGGTCTCTTTTGATTGACATGGACAAGTTAAGGAGACAAGGTGTGGTTGACTATTTTTTCTTTTAATCAATTCTCTGTCTCCTAAAATTCCACAACTGTTACCTCATTTAACTGCCAAGTATATTTTTCTTATAACTGAATTCACTGGGGGAAAGAGTAGAATGCACATACAGAGAAAGTTCCCACAGAAACAATATAAACAGAATGTTATATATTAAAGAAAATTTAATCATATTATTAATAATAACAACAAGCAAGTTAAGTTTGCTTTTTCCCTCTTAGTATGTCCATGGCTGATAAAATCAGTTTAAATGGAGGTGACATTGTATTAGAGCCAAACAGAGGGTCTATGAATTGAGTCTTCCCATGTTCCAACCCAGGTCTCTGCTACAACCTTCTTAAAAATTAAGAAAAGATATTTGTAGTGTTCTACAAATGAAGGACTTTGCTTTTAAAAAGTAAAGAACTACATGTCATTGTCAATGCCCCCTGTCCAGTTTGCAGACTTTCCTAATTCCATTCCATAGGAAAGTGATAACAAGATGTCACAGAGAATCTCCTTTACAAAGGCAGGATTTAAACAACTGGGTTTTTAAAGACAAAAGTTTATAATAATGTTAGAGCCCTGTTCAAAATTCTGCTTATAATTCAGTTAATTAATTTTACTATTCAAAATGAAAAACCTCAAACTTCCTTTTGGGGTTGGGAGAAATTTTTTGTCAATTTAACAGCTTAGTTCCACTATAATTTGGTAAATCTAATCATTTGTGCCACTTGTTTCAACCACTTCAAGAAAATTAAATGGCTTTTTAAAACACAAATACATCTACAAAGAGTTAGAAGAAATGTCCTTATATTAATAATAACTATGATGAAGGTGAAAACACAACTCTAGATTATGCCACCAGTGTCCTTCCAGAGGGAATAGAGAAGCTTTTGTCTTGGAAAACTCCCAGGGCCCCTTCAACATCATTATTAAGGAAGCCAACAAGAACTAGCATGTTCCTTTTCCCACAAAATCTCCTTTCCAATGTTTGCAGCTGTCTGCCACACAGATGTTTTATATTACTGTTCTTATGTATTTTATGTCCTGTTGACTATCTTGTCTGTGCTTCTGTTGTGAGACATGAGGCAGATTTTCCTAATAGAAAAGCCCTATTAGCAGCATGGTAGTTGATTTAACTCATACTCATGCTGCTTATTATTATGAGAAATGGCTAATTTCAAAATATTTCTTCTATATAAACTTTTTATATGTCAATGACTATGGACATGGGAATTCAACAATAGAGTGAATGTTCAATCAGTTGATTCTGGGTTCAAAGTTGGGGAAAGAGTGAAGGTTGAATTACAATGAGATTCAAATTCAAACTCAAAAGCTTTTTGCTAACAGTTTCAATAAACAAAATAATTTAAAAATACTAATCAGGAAAGATAAATTTTGATGCCAATGGTTAGAGTATGACTTAATAAACTGCAGACTAGATAGGCAAGACAATTTTAAAAGTGAAAAGTATGTCAGAAAGCTGGTGTATGGACTGGTGGGTCCTTATTTAGCTTTTTCTGGACTACTGTTGCTAGTTCCAAGTTTAATTGAACAAAGGACATGGGAAATAAAGGCAATTTAAAGGCAGAGCGCAGTGATGATTAGAAACTGGAACTTCTTTCCTTCTTTATTTTTAATTGAGGTAATATTTGGATCCCCCCATCAGGTATTGCCACTGTGGTGTAACCGCCACCAAGTCACCCAAGAGTCCAGCAAGAAACTGAAACTTCAAAGCAAGGACATTGTTTCAAGTGGGAGATGCTTAGGGACAACTGATCAATTATGTTCAATGAATGACTGGTACTAGGTTTGATCTTCAATTTAAAAATATGGGCTTAAACTCTAATGTAATGGATTTGGATAATTAGAAGCTCTCTAGGAATGATGATAATAGAATAATGGAGTGGGCTTTCTAGAAAACAAGCACTTTCTCTTGGACATCACTAATGGCAACAAAGGAGGAGTTATCAGGAGGCTTGAGTGGCTTTAATTCACTTCAATTTGGTGTATGGGTAAGCTTCCAAAGCCCAGTACAACTCTCTTTCACAGAACTTGTTTAACTATGAGGTCAAAATTGAAATAACAGTGTACAATTTAATTTAATCAACAAAGGGAAAACTGTTTTATAAAGACATTAATTTACTTGTTTTTCAAATCTTTTTGACAGAAATCGATTCTAATCCCAGTCATTAAGTCTTGAATGATTTTGTAGGGAAAAGGAAAAGATAGTAAAGTGATATGTGGTATTGCTATTTAAAGTGACTTTAAAAACATTTTCTGGAAAAAAAACCATTTTCTGCATTTGGTAAAATAAAGCCATAAAAAATGGTTCTATTTCTAAATTCCTCTAATTAACCAACCTTCTGTACATCTGTGAAATCACTTTTTGAAACTGTACCTATGTGGAGGAAGAAACCCCAGATTTGAGTTTGTTATTTTTGTAAGATATATAATTCCAAGCTATAGAGGTTCAAATGAAGTAGGGGAGAAAAAAACGCACCTAAACTTTCAAACTCGTTCAGATTTTATGTAGATTTTACTAGATGATTTTTCTGTTTGTATCTGGCTGCCTTGTTGTTTCATAGGTTTATGTAAATTTCATATTTACATAAATAATTTAAAACACATCAGGAAGAAAATTTTGTGCCTACAGCTGGGTTTTCCTTTAAAGATCACCCTCAGGGGGAAAAAAAGCTAATTTGTGTAAAATTTTTCAAGTGCCAGTTCTATAAAGCACAAGAAAATCTTATCAAACAAGTAAGGCAAACTATAAAATACTAGGTTTCCCCTAATTTAACCTCCATAACCCTTCCCTGCCTCCACACACTAAAATCCGATTTTGTTCCTTAACCACAGTAGTCAAGTAACCTAAAACTGACTTTAGAGTTTGAACTTCTTGGAGCCAGTGTTATGAGAACACAACTTTAAAGAATTTATCTTTTTTGTAGCTGGGATAAGGTTTTTGCTATTTTTGCTGCTGCTTATTGTCCTGAAACCTATCAAGGTAGACTTTTTCTACAAGATGAAGGAACCAAAACTATTATTTTTATTGTTTTTTTTATGGCCTACTTGTATGGGACTAATACACAACATGTGACTAACACTCAGAAAGCTGCGTCTGAGAGGAGAGCAGAGGCCTCTTAGCTAGGAGTTAGCAGAATGTGAAGGGTCAAGTTTCGCTTGCACTAACATCTATTTGCTGACTCTCCCAGCTCTGTGTCCTGATGAAAAATGCCTGTATGTTTCCCTTTGAAGCCAATTATATATGTTAGTGATTTTCTAGTTACTTCAGTTACTTGTTTCTATAACAAGAAGTACTAGAAAGAGTAAAAAAATTCACAAGACTTCAACATAGCATAGCCCTATCTTGAACATATTTGAAGGTCACCAAAAAGTCTAGATCTTTGTTTAGCTGGTACAATATTGAACTTACACAGTGAATGTCACAATGAGACTCCACATTTATTTGTTTGTTTAGTTAAGCATTCTGTATGCATGACACTGTATCACATTACTAGGTTTGCTAAATGAGCAAGGACATCTGAAAAATTAAAGTAACTATGTCATGAAGGTTCAAAGTGTTACTTAAAATCAATTTTTAAGTATTAAACTTAGCTGAAGAGAACATCTTTACATTAAATCACACAAGGAAATACACTGTATTTCAATATGATCCTAGCAGATTAGCCCTAAGAAAGCACATATTTTCAATATTTAAAATAAGTGGAGATTTAGTGTATTTTTAGGTATAAATTAAATTAAACTTGATGATTCTCCAAGTCAGCTCCAGTACTTACCTGCAATTCTTGAAACTGAAGTTCTCTATCATTTCAAAGAAAGTAATACCACATGAAGATGAAATAAACAGAATGCAAGAATTTAGCTCAGTTACAGTAGCCCAGGTATTATAGCACAACCAATCTAATTGCTTTGAAGGACTGCAGTTAATATAAAGTAGCTACTCGGAACTGCGTTCTATGATACAAGTGCAGTGGACATAAAACTCTAGCCTAATACTGCCTTACCTCTTCTAAAAACCACCCATTTGTCAAACTCCCTGCCATTCGAACCATCTCACTGCTCTTCTGTTAATCTGCTTTTGAAAGTCACTGAACTATTTCCATTCCGAGCACACACTGCAAGACAGAATCCATTCCAAGGGCTAGTTGAACACCAATGCATGCCTTCGAAGTATTTTTTTAAACGTGTAATTTTTAGAAAGGAATCAGACACTTACGTTTCAAGCAGTAGGCATCAAATCTGCTATCAGGGGGAGGGAAGCCTGTCTGGTTCTCAAAACGATACAGGGTTCTCACCCCAAGTAAACCACCTCCACACTGGGCCCTGGCCACAGTCACAGGGTGGCGAACGCTGGCGTCTGACAGCCACCCGTAGTCACACTGGTCGTAGCCGTTCCTCCAGGCCACATGCAGCTCGCCCACCGTCGCCAGCCGGCCGTTCTGGTTTGCACACGCCTCTTCAGCCTCCTCAAAGGTGAATTTGTTGGGAGCAGTGATGTGGACTACATCACCTGGAATAAGAGGAAAACACCTTTAGTCTTATTCTTTCACCTTTCCTGCTCCTGGGGAGAGGAAGGAGGCAGATAATTGTTTTTCACATGGTGAGGCAGGAGCTTCTGGTTCTTTGAAACTGAAAATATAGTGGTTACTAATTGTATTATTATTAGTGCATGCTAAGAAAGAACACAAGGCCAGGCAAGTTCCATGTTCTATACATCTATACACTTGGTCCCGGGAGCAACTATTCGATTATAGTTACAATGTGTTCTTTAAAATATAGACTCACTTCTCCAAATGATTCTTTAGATGACTGTCCAGGATATGGACACACTTCCTAACATTCATGTTGGAACAGGAAAGTTGTATTGAGTGGTCCCAAAGCTTATTTTGCTTTGCATAGCCTAAAATCAAACAGCGTTCTCTGACCCTGTCTCTCAGATGTCATTACTATAAAAATGAATTAAGTGCCAGCCAGCCAGCAAGCAAACAAACAAACAAGGAAACCTCTGGCCTTGGGGACAGGGTAGAGGCAGAACTGAATATCGTTCCCTGCCTTCCTGTCCATGAAACAGGGTCTTAAACAGCTACACAGGTCAGGGCTGAAAGAGAGTGGGGCCAGCACCAGCCCCCTTTCCACCAGCCAAAGGCCCCAGTTTCCCCAAGAAAAGGGGCACCTTGTTTTTATTGGCTCTGCCCAGCGCGCACATTTTTTCCCACTACTCACAAAGACACCAGACGTGCTAACAGGGAGTCTGAAGAGCTTCAAGAGAGTTTATATTTGTTTAGTCACTAACAAAGGAAAGCTGGGGACATTTACTGTATTCATCATCAGATCCAAGCAGTGGAAAGTATATTTATTATCATTTAGCATTTACAATGAAATATTCTAGAAATGACAGTGTTTAAGTGGGATTTTATGTTAATAACTGAAGTAACGACTTGCTGAAATAAATTCAATTCAAATTAAATGATACTTTTCACATGTAAGCACAGTGGCTAAAAGACAGGCAGAATTAGGGATTGGCAATGCAAACATAACAGGCAGAAGGAGAGCTATGAAGTGCGATAGAGAGAAAGCTGAAATACTGACAGCACATGACTGGAAAGGCTGCGTGCGGGCCCTGTTTTCATGCTCCTGCGGCTATTCTCTGACTCTGATAATATTAGACAAGTGGGCTCAAATACTTTCCTGGTTCAGTTTGTCATGACTCAGATGTAAGAAGCCACTGTTTAACAGAAAGAGACGTCACTCCCTTGATGTGTGATGGCTTTAAAAATCAAGCGAAATTAGTCATGGGAAAATGGCCAAATCACACATATCAACTTTTCTCATTATAAATCTAAAATTGCTATTGACAAAAGTCGGCCAAATCTCAAGAGTTATTTGAAGACGAGAAAGGAAAATGACTTTTAATTCACTGATAAAAGTGAGGTAGAGGTGAGAACAGGTAGGCTTTTGTCCTTAATTATTCATGCTGGCAAGAGTGCAAATCCAGTATCCACTGTGAGAACAGACATTTCTCTCCCATTCCTGGGAAAGTTTTAAAACATAACCAGCCCAATACCAGTTGCTTAGTACTTGGCATTTAATAAAATGTGTTAAATAAAAGGCATCTCGAGTTCTTCAAAACAAAAGTTTCTTTTCCCTCTTTTTTTCCCCAAGCAGCACTATAAACTAAAGCTCACTCTGTGGCATACCTTGGGCACAGCTGCTTTCCGCAGGGGCCTTCACCTCACCTATGGATTTGGCCCAGAGCTACCCGGGAAGGGCAGACAAGAGACTGTTGCCCTGACTAGCCTCGCTCACCTCACTAATAAAGTTGAATTAGGCCTGAAGGGAATGCAAGTGTGAAAGAGGGCAGCAAGCCAATATCCCTCCCTCCAAGGTGGAACCAGGGTTTGTTATTACAGCTGGACTATCCTTTTTGTTGACTGCCTTTCCCGTTTTGAGGTACTTCTACCTGAGGCAAAACTACTGTTCTTCTTAAGTAACAAGGGTGATCAGTCAACCAGAGCAGGACAAAGAAATTTGACTGTTTAAGTAAAACTTTACTTCTCCAAATTATAAAGCTATTCAAAATGTTGGGGAGAATCAACTTCTCCCAATATGGACAGACCAAAGGCCTAACAAAGAAAAATGGATGACAGGATTTCATGGTTAACTGGTTTCCCTCTTTTAAACAGCAAATGTGTTTGGGGTTTAAAGAAAAGGAAGCTTTCAGAAAGTGCTGGCCAGGTTAAAGAGGATTCCCTTATAATTATTAAATAAGTAAAGATACAAAATGATTACTATGGCTATGTTAAACCTGACATACCAAAAAATGCATTTCTTTAGAGGGCACAACTTTCATCTAATTACTCAACAAGCATGAAATAATTAATGATTTTACTTTTCTGGATAAATTAAACCTAGGCCAACAATTCTAGGCCACCAATTCTCCTTTTTTTTTTCTGACTTTTTCTATTATTGAGTGAAAAAAAATTTAAACATACCTAAGGAGACACTAACTCAAATGCAAAAGGGGAGATTTAGTTGGGTTTACTTTAAGATGAAAATTGAAAAAAATATCTGTAAACATACTTTGTGATTTGTCATCTATGGCATAAGTGTTGTTTATCAAGGGAGGTGAAAACAAATTAAGTGTCTCTTGATAGAGGATTATATCATGAAGATGTGGTATATCCACACAAAGGAATAAAACCCAGTCATAAGGAGAAACAACATGTTACCTTTTATAGCAAACAGGAAAAAAATCAAGGAAATCATGCATAGTAAAACAAGTCACAATGATAGGTATTGGGCATTTATATAGTGGATGATTTCATAAAGCAAAACACCTAGAAAGACTAGGGAACACTAATAAATGAAGTCTCTTGGGTTAATAGGAAGGGGGATGGGAAAGAAAATCTAAGGGATGGTGGTGAGGAAAAAGGTCTAAAATTTAAAAAGAAAGAAAATAAACAAAAGTCACCTGACAGGTTTCACTTCTGCAAGAGTTCTCAAAGTATATATGTTAATATTATATTATTTATTGGGAGTCCCCACAAGGGAGGTATGATTTATTTGCTAAACCATTTGACCAGATCCTTTTCCTGTTAGAATTCAAAGGAATGAATCTGTATCCATGGGATAGTTTGCAAAATGCAACTTTAGAGACAAGTATGTTTCTATAGAGAAGAGGAATCTCAATTGATCCATAACAAATGTAATTTGGCATTGATTTTCTGGTAGCCTGTGTGTCACCCTGCTAACCAGACAGAATCAAAGCAGGAGTCAAAAATCTAGCAAGAACGCAAGGCAAAGGGCAGATAATGCCCACTGCCTTCAAGACTGAGTCAAAAGATTCCAAGTGAGCAAAGGAGGCTGCAGCTGAGAAGTACCTGATGTGGACCTCATTTCTCAAAAATATCCTTGCATTCTGCAAGGATAAACCAACTACAGCAGTAAAAGCTGTAAATTTTTTTCCTCAATAATAAGGAGTAGGAGCAAATTGCTCCATCTTATATGCTACAGGCAGGTTCTCAGTTAAACAATGGCCACTTTTACACTGAGAAGAACAGTCAAGAGAGAAAGCTCTTCAATAGTGCTACTGATCTATCTTCAACTTTAAATTCCATAGTGAGAATTACAGGTCATATTATTTATTCTAAATTATAGCATTAGTCACCAATAACCTTAAAGTAATTAGACAGAAATTATGTCTGGGCCAGTCAAATAAACCCAGGTATGGTCCAAAAATATATGGCCATAGAAGAATGCATCAAAATATAAAATCTATACTCTAGAGGCAAAGCCAAAGGAGGAACAAGAGAAAGTAAACATGCAGAATCAAGCATCTAACTCCATACATTCACTTAGTTCTCTTTCAACAGAACTTAGTTGGCCATATTGTGTAAATCACCCCTGAGTTTATCTTAAAGGCAACTTTTTGCCTCTGATGTCAGTAACACTAGTTCCGTCCAGCTTTTAGTAAAAGTACTAAATTTAGAACCAGAACAAGAAAGCACAGTAGGGGGAAAGAGAGAAAATGCCCATTTTATTAGCATAGATCAAGGTTGTGTTCTAGTTCTATCCCTATCTACTTGGTTGCTTATCTGTAGATTTACTGGATACTTGTCCTCCTGGAAGGCAAGCATCACTTTTTTCAGCTAACAATGATTCCACTGTTATATTTTAGTAGCCTCCTCAAAGCAGGTACTTCTACTTATTATCAGTGTGACTACAGGAAGATTGGAGTATGTTTCAAATGCTATCTAGTGATGAGAGAATACTTCATTTTTCTCTAATTAAAGAGAGCAAAAGAACTGTCAGAAATAATATAGGCAAAATATCTTACTAAACGAAAAGATACATTCTTTAAGATTAAAATTCAAATTAAGTTGTGTAAAAAAAGAATTCTTGGAGGGGTAAAAACGTGCATTCATGTAATATACACATAAAATATACAGACAAGAGTTTCAATACACAGGATGCTTTGCACGTTCATATGGAAAACATATACACAATATCTTAGCCTATTTTAACTTTAATATCTAACCTTAATATATTTTTTTAAGATTTACTGATTTATGCATACAAGAACTGGGGTACAGGCCTGAGGTATGGAGGGTGAGAGACTTCACCAGAGCAGTGGAGAGCAGAACAGGCAAATTTACTGAAAGGCACTGCTGAAGGGAGCAGCAAGAGAGTCAGAAGAGGTCTGCTGTGTCATGTGGGTCAGCTCCCTGGTCAGGGATCTAACTCGTGCTAAAGCGGCTGCAGCTAGCTTCACAGTGCTGTGCTTTAACCCATTACATCAGCAGGGGTGGCCCACCTTAATATATCTTAACCTATGTTTCCCAAAAGTTTCAAGAACATGGCTATGACTTTGAATTTTTTCTGTTATTTCAACTTTCCAGGGGTGTCCTAGAAGAAAATGAAAGTCACTCCTGGTGAGACTAATACCTGATGACATACCACAAACATCCAATCATAAAAACTAAGAAAAGTAACACTTGGACAAAACACTTG